TTCTCTCTCTCTCTCTCTCTCTCTCTCTCTCTCTCTCTCTCTCTCTCTCTCTCTCTCTCGTTGCGACATGGACATGTGTTTAGGGTGGTCGGTCGATGCGAAGAATGAATGACTGTATATGTGAATGACGTTCATACAAGTAAAATATTAGAGAAATAATGAAAACATGCCTTGCATGCATCAACTCTCATAAAGCGTTTGGCCATGCACTCACAATACTTGCCCCGTCCGCCCGCGTGAATATCCTCTTCCTCATCGTCTGTGGTGTGCAGTACCAATGACAACAACGGATACAAGATTGTGCAAAAGAGGATGGACAATGCATCTCGCAACTTCGTCTTTATCGGAGAGGGAGATGGCAGCACTAGCGCATATCATTTGTGAATACGGGAATAGGTATCCCGTTGTCAGCACACAAGATGCGCACAATAATGCACTGTTGCAACTCACTCGCAGCGATTTCCTTTTACTCGTCGTCAAACAACAGTGGTTAAACGACAACGTGATCAACTTTTATCTCAACCTCGTAGCATTAAACAACTGCTGTAGAATACATCACGTAGAATGCGACGCGGATAATGAGATAGTCATTAGAGAAGGAAACGGTCGCATTCCCAGAGTATCAGTGCTGAGCTCGTTTTATTTGGTCAAACTTTTCGATAATGACATGAGATATAGAGACCGAGAGGTAGAACGGTGGTACCAGGATGTAATTATAAGTGACATGAATTTGATTATTGCTCCTTTCGATATCACACACCAGGACCACTGGACCTTGGTCGTCGCTGACTTAAGGAGGAGGAAATTTGAATTTTACGACCCGCTCGAGCCCGGCAAGGAGTTCGCGTTAAAAGTGACCGGCGGGTTTGCAAAGTTTTTATTCGAAAGATCGAAATTGCAAGGCAAAGAGGTGAACACGAGACCATTCAATCACATATGGAATGTAGAGGGCATTCCAAAGCAACATGACACGAACGAATGTGGGGTCTTTGTACTCACGTACGCGTCACTTTTGGCACGGGGCCAACTTCCGCCTTTCTGTTTCACCGCAGATGACGTACCCGCGATACGTCATCGGATGGCATTGGACATAGTGGCTCGTGAGTAGTGCGTTTGTGATATTCTATAGTATGATTGTGAAGGGGGCGGACGTGGTTGGCACGAGATGGCGCTTGACAAAAAACAATGTATATAAGATGTTAATTATTCCTCAGTGCACTGTGTCACTTGCCCTTGCATGGTATCTTATACCTTACACCTTACCCCATACACCTTACACCTTACCCCCCCTACACCTTACACCTTACCCCTTACCCCTTACCCCTTACACCTTACCCCTTATACCTTACCCCTTATACCTTACCCCTTACCCCTCACGCCAGAACGCCCATTTGTAATGGTTTTTGCACTTCACGAAATCGCTGTTCCCCCATCTCCCCGGCCTCCCATACCTTTAGGTAATATTCCCACAGGTCGGTACTGAGATCCTTCCACATGGTTTCCCAAAATTCTTTGGGGAAGCCGTCAATACCAGGGGTGTTTTCCTCCTTCATTTGGAAGAGTGTTGTCCATATTTCTTCTTTTGTCAGTTCTCTCTCCAGTTTGTCTCCGATGTCTCGTTGTTGAGAAGAGATATGTCGGTCCATTGGGAGTAGGAAGTCCTGTATTTCCCGAATCTTTTCTTTCCCATACGGGGATAAGACTTGGGAGGTATATAGCTGTTTGAAGAACTTCTTGGTGATTAGTGTGCAGTGAGCTGTGTCAGTGGCAATGATGTTGTTATCGTCTGGGTAAAAAAAAACCTCGATGATCGTCCGTTGTGCCCGTGCGGTGGCCATGGAGAAAAAACGAGTGTCCATGGAGGCCTCGTGGGTGAGTTTAGTCATTTTCCCTCTGATTCTGATTCCCTGCCATCTATGCAGAGCATATTGTAGTAGTCGGTCTTTAGTATTTTGGATCGAGTTTATGAAATGCAGTGATTCCTGCTCGGAGGTAAGATGTTGTGACTCTGTCTGCCTCTCCAGGAGTATTAGTTCATTGTGTGTGGTCATTTCAAGTTGTTGTCGCAAAGCTGCTTTAGCTTTGGAGAATTCCTTGCATTTTCTGGCCAGAAACACAAGACTGTTGTTGAACCATACGAGGTAAGACTCGAAAAGGTGCTTTCGCTGGCGCCAGAATTCCCATTCGTGTCGTATCATTTATGAGAATGATAAATCTTTAAGCAGGGAAGTGTTTAATTTGAAGAACCCCGACCCTTGGTCAGACCTTTTTCTCATTGTTAGTACTATCCTACAAGTTTTGTGGTCAAGACCCGGGTGCGGGCTGCGTGGGAGGATCATTGACCATCGCAGGGCTCCCTCCATGTCATTGGACAGTAGGATGAGGTCGATTTGAGATTTGGATAAGCGGGCCGGATTGCTGTCCCTAATGCACGTGAATGCCCGTGCTTGTGGGTGCAGGCGTCAGAATGTATCGAAGACTGAAAGAGTCTCACAGAGGTCAGCTAACATTTGCTCGTCCTCTAGCGCCGCAAAGGAGGGCGATTCCTGGGGATTCCATCTGTCCAGGCCCTTATCTGGGGTCGCATTGAAGTCCCCTGCTATGATTAGCGGGATACCTTCCGGGACTTGTGCACCAATTTTTCCCAGGAACTCCTTCTTTTCCCCTACTCAGTTTGGAGAGTAGATACAGAGGATACAAAGCAGTTCTAATTCTAACATTCCCAGGACCGAGGCCCATCGCCCTTCCACTTCGTCCACAACCCAGTGAACCGGTTGGAACCTTGAGTCAGGAGGGATCCAAATTGCCACCCCGGCTGATCCAAGTTTCGGCGTGTGGGCTCTTATGGCCGTATGAGGCCAGACTAGCTTATGGGCTCTGTTATGATCTGGATTGTTTTGTAGGTGAGTTTCTTATATGCATATCACGTCCGACCAACGCCTGCCTCCTATTCCTCTCAGTTGGTCCCAAATGGCCTGGCGCATTTCTGGTCTACTTGATGCCAAGCCATTAACAGTAAGGGAGCGCAGGTCCAGGTCGGTTGAGTCAACGCATTTTTTCCATGCCACGCTCCTACAGTATAATGTATCGAGGTCATCCATTGCTTAGTGTCTGCTTAGTGTCTGCCCCCCTTGTCTCATAGTGGATGCCATTGCCTGATATCCCATCTGTCCAGATGCAAAATTCTCTTCCGCACTATCCGACATAGGCATTTACATATGTCATCTTCAAACTAGTATTCGCCGACTTTTATTTTTGCGCATTGTAGGTCCAGGAGGGCGTTGTGGCTGTACCAACCCAGGTCGGATGATTTGTTGAGTTCAAAGAGCAGGTAGAGATTGTTCCTAGCCATCTGCTCCTCACCGCCTCCAGATCTCATGCGAAATCGCATGCCTGCTCTGGCCCCTGGGGCAAAGTGCTTGGGGATGAAGGCGAACATTTGGTTGGTGAAGACTCTATCACTCTCCTTGTTGTTTCCTTCCTGAGGCAAGAACTCCCAACCTTGCAGTGTTACCCCCCCATATTCCCCTATCGGGGAAAGGCCCATCTCCCATTTCCCGTCCGCCTTTCTAAGGGGGATTACAAGAACCCCGTTCAGCTTAGAGAGTGGCAGCTCAAAGAGGCCTCGTTCAATGAGTTGCCTTAGCTTGAGTCTTCGTGAGGTCAGTCCCTCCTCGGTTGTTTCTACTTCCCTCGCCACCGGCTGGTCTTGCTTTTCCTGTGTGGGGGGGTGGAACCAGCTCCGGGCGACGACCAGAATCCGTTGGAAGGCTTCTGCCCATGTTAAGTGGGGAGGGGGGCCGGATGTTAGTATGGTTCTTAAGAAGGAGCTGTTGTTCAGGAGCCCTACTAGTTCCACATAAGTCTTATCCCAGTACTCCTCCCCCTCATGCAGACAGTCCGATTGGAGGTGCTTGAGTATCCAATCCGCCACAATCTGAATTTTCTGATCCAAACTCATTTCGTGCGGGGGGGCGTCGGGGTCCGTTGGATCTTTGGGGAGTTCCTCCATCTCAACATCCGAAGGGGGGGGGGTTGTGTCCACCTCCATCTGCTGTGCCCCGAAGGCATCTGAGAAGAAATCGGGGGCCAGTGGTTGCACCTCCTCCTGTCCGGGCTGTTGTGGCTGTTGTGGTGTTGGGAACTGATGTTATTCCTGTTCAGGCCTGCCGAGCAGTGGGGTGTACAATTGCTGTGTTTGTTGTGGCAGCGGGTGCGATTGCTGTGTTTGTTGTGCCTGCTGTATTTGCTCCAACTGTCGCTTCTCCCTTGCCTGCTGCTTCAGGCGTGTCCCCTGATGGCTTTGCAGAGGTTGCGTCTTCTGTCCCCT